GGGACACCTGTTCAACCCCACAACCATTGTCTTGTGGGGTTCCTCAGGGCTCAATATTGTCTCCCATGTTGTTTAACATCTACATGAAGCCGCTGGGGGAGATCATCCGGAGTTTCGGGGTACGGTGTCATCTGTACGCGGATGATGTCCAACTCTGTCACTCCTTTCCACCTGCTACTAAGGAGGCTGTCCAGGTCCTGAACCGGTGCCTGGCCGCTGTGACGGTCTGGATGAGGGCGAACAAATTGAAATTGAATCCAGACAAGACAGAGGTACTTCTGGTCAGTCGCAAGGCCGAACAGGGCATAGGGTTACAGCTGTGTTGGATGGGGCCGCACTCCCCCTGAAGATGCAGGTTCGCAGCTTGGGTGTGACCCTGGACTCATCGCTGAGCCTGGAACCCCAGGTTTCGGCGGTGACCAGGGGAGCATTTGCACAGCTAAAGCTTGTGCGCCAGCTGCGCCCGTACCTTGGGAAGTCTGACTTGGCCACGGTAGTCCACGCTCTGGTTACATCCCGTTTAGACTACTGCAACGCTCTCTACGTGGGGTTGCCTTTGAAGACAGCTCGGAAGCTCCAACTAGTCCAACGCTCGGCAGCCATGATTTTAACAGGAGCGGAGCGCAGGGAGCATACAACCCCCCTGTTGCGCCAACTCCACTGGCTACCGATCTGCTACCGGGCTGAATTCAAAGTGCTGGCGTTGGCCTTTAAAGCCCTAAACGGTTCCGGCCCAAGCTACCTATCTGACCGCATCTCTGCCTATGAACCCACCAGGAGTTTGAGATCTTCCGGGGAGACCCTGCTCTCGATCCCGCCTGCTTCTCAAGCTCGGCTGGCGGGGACGAGAGATAGGGCCTTCTCGGTGGTGGCTCCTCGGCTGTGGAACGCCCTTCCTACGGACATTAGACTAGCACCATCTCTAATGGTATTCCGCAAAAAGGTGAAGACCTGGATGTTTGTGCAGGCGTTTGAGTAATTCAGTGCAATCTGGTAATGGAACATAGGAATGGAACAAGGGACGACGAACCTGGACTACGCTTGGATGATGAGAAGATTGGGTACGGTTGTTTTTTGTAATAATTGTGCATTGTAATTGCTTATTGGTAATTTATGGATAATGTGTTAAGTCAATTGTTATATGTTGTATGGAACCACTGCTGTTTCTACTGTTTTTACTGTTTGTGAACCGCCGTGAGTCGCCTTCGGGCTTGAGATACAGCGGTATATAAGCAAAGTAAATAAATAAAGTAAATAAATTAAACTGAACATTCAGGGCAGATTGGCTATGTGCAGAGGTAGGATCTTCTGATTAATATATTTGTCCCAAAGACACATTTTATGGAGAAGTGTGCCACAAGTTGGACTCCCAGCCAAGGCTGAGTTATCTATGCATCAGCAAACCCTAAATTCTGGGATGAAAAAGGAAGAATTCTCAGATATGGCCATATCACACAACTTTAGTTTTTTTTACTTTGCATCATTCTGCAATTTTAAAATTATAGGTTTATTAATCTGTTCTTTCTGTTCATGAATTAAAGACGTAAGCTGCAAGAAACCTGTAAGGCCATATTTATCCCGGATTTATCCAGATACAACTTTGATTTTTCAGAATTTACCACATACATTCAGCCAATTATTCACAGCCACAAAAGATTTGGCTTTATATAAAACAAGGAAGTGAAAATTCTCAGAACTGAATGTATGTGGTAAACTCTGAAAATGTTGTTGTGCCCAGGACACAGGCATGTAGCCGGGGGGGGGGGGGGGCTTGAGGGGCTTCAGCCCCCCCCCCGAAATTCTCATGGTGGTCCGCGAGAAGGCCTTACTGGCGCATTATTTAAACTGTTATGTTTATTCATATCTGATCACCATACTCAATATATCCCATATGCATGGGGATATTGGGGTAACAATACAAAAGGCTTGCTAGGGTAGACCCTCTTTCACTCAGACTCAGCCCCCCCCCGAATCAAACTCAGCCCCCCTCCAATCAAAATCCTGGCTATGGGCTATGGGCCTGCCAGGATAAATGGTCTTTCATAGTCTTAACAGAAGTTTACATGCGGGGAAGCTCTCTTGCTTCCTACAGCTCACAGATTTACGTCTAATTTTTCATAACCATCTTGTTTCTAACATTTGCAAATTCCCCTCTTCCTTGTACATAATACTGGTTTGTGGACTGCATAAATGTTATTGTATTCCAATGCACACAAGATCTAGCCAACACTGCTAAGGGTGAGGAATACTGGCTTTTGAGAAAAGACATGTTTAAGTGCACAAAAGATATTTAAACATGATTTTTCCTGTAGATTCTTTACTTTGAATTTGCAGACTAATGCGAAACTAGGATGCAACAGACCTGTGAGTTTTTTTTTCATGTCAGGAGCAACTTGAGAAACTGCAAGTTGCTTCTGGTATGAGAGAATTGGCTATCTGCAAGGATGTTGCCCAGGGGACACCCGGATGTTTGATGTTTTGCTATCCTTGTGGGAGGCTTCTCTCATATATCTGCATGGAGAGCTAGAGCTGACAGAGGGAGCTCAACCTGCTATCCCTGGATTCAAACTACTGACCTGTTGGTCAGCATTTCTACTGGCACAAGGGTTTAACACATTGCGTCACCAGGGGCTCCTAGACCTGTGTATGTATTTCCTCTTTTATGACCATGTCATCTTCACATGGTATGTGTATGAATTTCCCTTTTCCCCCATTCTGTTTCTTTAAAATAAGTCAAACCCGTTACTTGGAAAAAGCAACTGCCATTGAAAGGACAGGGTTGTTTTTCTGCAAAGCAGTCTTACTAATTAAGATTCTGGTAGGCTTTCCACATCAAAGTACCAGTGTTTCCATTAGTCTTGGTTAAGGAAAAGTTTAAAAATAAAACCCAGAGTGAACAGGATGTTCTCTAATCTGTCCACTAGGCAAATACAATATAACACAAGCATTTAATAACATTCACATATTTTTTTCAAATGTATTTTTTGTTTCCATTAAATGCGTTAAAACCTTAAGGGGGCTAATGATGATCCGGCTTGTTTGTGTTGCAAATTGCTACTGCCCTGGTGGTCCTAGAAACAGAATAGGAAAAAAAACGTACAATATTTTTCAAAGGCTGGTAAAATTCCTGAATGCATTTTACATGCTGGTCTCTTTCACGTTAATATTTACAGCACTTTGATGCTACTTTAAATGCCATCTTCAGGAATTCCACATTTTTTCGTTTTGTAGGGCTAGTATTTAGAATTTTCTGCCAGAGTTTATTTATTTATTTATTTTTCCTGCATTTGTAACCTGCCCTTCTCACCCCCGAGTGGGGACTCAGGGCAGCCTCACAGCAAGCACCATCCGGTGCTGTCACAATTATAAAACAATTAATTAAAAACAGTTAATTAAAACAGTCAATTAAAACAATCGATTAAAACATGTCAATTAAAATCCAAATCCAGTTCCCGGTCAATTCATTATCGCAAGTTGCTTAAATTTTCTTCACACATTGCTGCTATTCACTTGTCAAACTCTTGGTCCCATAGCCAAGTCTTGAGTTTCCTTCTAAAAGACAGGAAGGAGGTGGAACTGTATTATATGGCAGTATTGTTGTTGTTCATTCGTTCAGTCATCTCCGACTCTTTGTGACCTCATGGACCAGCCCACGCCAGAGCTCCCTGTCGGCCGTCACCACCCCTAGCTCCTTCAAGGTCAGTCCAGTCACTTCAAGGATGCCATCCATCCATCTTGCCCTTGGTCGGCCCCTCTTCCTTTTGCCTTCCACTTTCCCCAGCATGATTGTCTTCTCTAGGCTTTGCTGTCTCCTCATGATGTGGCCAAAGTACTTCAACTTTGTCTCTAGTATCCTTCCTTCCAGTGAGCAGCTGGGCTTTATTTCCTGGAGGATGGACTGGTTGGATCTTCTCGCAGTCCAAGGCACTCTCAGAACTTTCCTCCAACACCACGTATAGACTCATATAATTCAGTTCAAAGCAGATAATGTGAATTATCTGCCTTGATATTCTGGATTATATGGCAGTGTAGAAGGGCCTTGTGTTACTTTGGTGCAAAGGAACAAATTATAACATGTTATTGTTGCTGATCTTAGCATTGACAGTAGGAGTAATTTATATAAATATATAATATCTGGTTTCCTGTTGGTGAAATGTTGTCATGTAGGTGTTGCTTTGAACTGGATTATACGAGTCTACACTAACATATAACCCAGTTCAAAGCAGATTATCTGGATTTTATATGGCAATGTAGAAGGAACCTCTGGATGGGTCACTGTGCATCTCCGTATGCTCCTACTGTGTGGAAATGGTGTGTTAAGGCCACTGCATTGTTCACGAGGTGAATTTTGAGGGGTAGCATTGGGAAATGCAGCTATAGATACATAGGGTTGTTGTAGGTTTTTCGGGCTATATCGCCATGGTCTAGAGGCATTTTCTCCTGATGTTTCGCCTGCATCTATGGCAAGCATCCTCAGAGGTAGTGAGGTCTGTTGGAACTAGGAAAATGGGTTTATATATCTGTGGAATGACCAGGGTGGGACAAAGAACTTTTGTCTGCTGGAGCTAGGTGTGAATGTTTCAACTGATCACCTTGATTAGCATTTAATGGCTTGAAAGTGACTGGGGGAATCTTTTGTTGAGAGGTGATTTGATGTGCCTGATTGTTTACTCTCTGTTGTTTTGCTGTTGTAATTTTTAATTTTTTTAATACTGGTAGCCAGATTTTGTTCATTTTTCATTTTCATGGTTACATATTTATGTGATACATGTATGTTTCCTGAGTTTTGGTTATTTTTTATTATGCTGAATTCAGTTTCACGGCTCTTTATTGTTTTTGTGTGAAATAGAGTAGTGTTTCTCTTGAGAAAGCTGTACTATATAAAACACAACTTGCTCTTTCAATATGATTTTGGTCCTTTGTTTCTTATCTCAGAATATGTATTTTTTCTGACTGTCATTTCATTGTGCTTATCGAAAAGTGATTGTGCTTCTTTTAAGTTCCTACAGCCACAAAGTCAATGGAACTAAGTCCCTTGTATGTAGCAGTGAACCAAAACGCGGAGATAAGCTGTAACTACACATCCCCAGAAGAGTTAAATGAACTCAAAATCTCGCTGGTTAAAGGACTGAAAAACGGAACCGATGTCTGCTCATATTCCTGGAATACAATATCAAATACAACAAAAACAGAAAAAGACTTTAACTGTCGGGTGGATTTTGCCAAAAAACCAAACAAAATAACTTTCCACCTCCAGAATGTACAGGTCAATCAGATGGACATTTATACCTGCAAAATTGAGACTTTACACCCACCACCATATAAAGAGAATATAAGCCATAATGCGACTTTCATTCACGTGACAGGTAAAAATATGGAAATAGTTTCTTGCTACTCCTATTTGGGTTTATTTCCATGACCAGTTGTTAAACTGTCCTTCAACAACAGCCAGTTAGCCCAAGGAGTAGACCTTTTAACAATGAACTGGAGAACAGAAGGGAATGTGTGTAATTATACTTTTTTTTTCTATTTGTTGCATTTTCTCCATTCATTTGCCCCTCCAGCCATTTTCAATCCAGAAGAGTTTTTTTTTAAGTATATGAATGGAAAGTGATTTTGTCTATTTTCTGTTGTTTTTTTTAAAAGTATTTCTTGGGTTTAAAACAGCTCCAAGGGGGGAAGGGAGGGGACAGATACTCTAATACATGATGAAAGTGCCCCTACCCCCACAGAGGCCATTGGTGGTAAATATTTTTTATATTTGAAACTGTTGCATTATCTGGGCAGAGGCCACAAGGGGGCACTAGAAAGAGAAGGATAGTCCATTTTATAGAGGGGGGAGTTGAAGGAGGAAAACAATTTCCCCCGTTTTCTCTGGTTATTCCCTCTCTCCACTTCCCATGTCATAAACAAGGGTTGTTTCCACAGTGGGTGAGGGGAATAATGGAAAAACAGGGGAAAATGGCTTTCCTCCTTCAACCTACCCTCCATCCCCAGAAAATCTCTCTAGCACCCTCTTGTGGTCTCTGCCCAAATAATGGAGCGGTACCTTATATTTTGGAGCCCCCAGTGGCGCAGTGGGTTAAAGCGCTGAGATGCTGATCTTGTTGACCGAAAGGTCACAGGTTTGAATCCGAGGAGTAGCGTGAGCTTCTGCTGTTAGCCCCAGCTTCTGCCAACCTAGCAGTTTGAAAACATGCAAATGTGAGTAGATCAATAGCTACCGCTCCGGCGGGAAGGTAACATCATGCAGTCATGTTGGCCACATGATCTTGGAGGTGTCTATGAGCAACACCGGCTCTTCAGATCGTCTGGAGAGGCCCTGCTCTCGGTCCCACCAGCCTTGCAAGCGCGTCTGGTGGGGACGAGGGACAGGGTGGCCCCTCGACTCTGGAACTCTGTCCCACTGGAGATCAGAACAGCCCCTTCTATCCTGACATTTAGGAAACAGGTGAAGACTTGGTTATGGAGACAGGCATTCAACGAGTGAGCCAACACCCTGAGATATGGATGGAGGATGATGAGCAACGATTTTAGTGTGACGACTGACCATTATAGTTATTGATTGTAATTGCTGTTTTAATGTTTTACTGTAATATGTATTATAATGTTTTATTGATTGTATGTGATAATATGGTTGGAAACTGGTCTGAGTCCCTCAAGAGAGGTGAGAAGGCCGGTATACAAAACTTTTAAATAAATAAATAAATAATTCAGCTTAGAAATGGAGATGAGCACCACACCCCAGAGTCAGACACGACTGGACTTCATGTCAGGGAAAACCTTTTCTACCTTATATTTTAATATTTTTTTACAGGTAGGTGTAACGTAACAGTATCCCCTTCTGAGATCTCTTAAAAGTTATTGTGTCCATCCCCCCTCCCTAGCCTTTGAAAGTTGCCCAGATAGGACCTCCCATGGTCAGTTATCCCATGTCCTTTCTGTAATGAGATCCATCTTTCCTCCACTTTCCCCTGCTTCCCGTTATTTGGAGTTGGATAATACTGACTTCTGAAGACAGCTTTAGGGCTCCGTTTACATGCACTGTGGAAACAGGGTCCCACTGAATCCCACTCAAAATGCCTTTATGTTCTCTGATGGCCTCTGGGGGACTCTCATGGGGATCCATTTCCATAGTGCATGGAAATGGTGCCCTAAAGCCGTGGGATGAAGTCCATAGCCTGACCCAGTCAAGTTTCTTCTTATGTAATGTTTGGCTGGTATAAGTCTATAACTTCTTTGAGAAGCGCAAGATGTATCAAGTGACCTCTGCATTTTTAAAACATGCTTAAATTGGCCTCTTTTATTTTGAAGGATGAATATCATATTTTATTTTATTTTATTTTATTTATTTATTTAGCAGTTTTGTATACCGGTCTTCTCACCTCCGTTCGAGGGACTCGGGTCGGTTTCCAACATCAATATTACAGACAGTCATTAAAACATCATATTCTAAATCACACTAAAACATTAAAATAGCAAAATACAATCATATAATTACAATGTCAGTCATCATCAAAAATCATTATTCGTCGTCATCCATCCATATCACAGGATCATGGCTCATTCGTCGAATGCCAATCCCCAAAGCCAAGTTTTCACCTGTTTCCTGAAGTTTAAGAGAGAAGGGGCAGTACTGATCTCCAGTGGAAGGGAGTTCCAGAGTTGAGGGGCCACCACCGAGAAGGCCCTGTCTCTCGTCCCCACCAGCCGCGCCTGTGAGGCCGGTGGGATCGAGAGCAGGGCCCCTCCAGACTATCTTAGCAATTTTAAATACCTCGGCCCAGAATCGGCTCTTGAGGACCCAGTCAGTGCTTGGAAAAAAGTATTTGTTTTATCATGTTCAGAATTCTTTAGTTATGCTAGTGGAGGGATTGTGACTGTTGCAGGCTAAAAATCTAACATATTGTTTTAAAGGTCTGTTCCTGATTCAGATGGAGTCCTTCTGCTAACTTTCACATGAATTGGTAGTGTTTCACCACAACACTATCAAATAGTGTTCAGATATTCCTTACTATAAACACTACCAAATCGTGTTTCACCACTATTGTGTAGCAGAGTGTTTAGCCAGGATCTGCATCTTCTTTTCCTTCAAAATAAATGTGGCTCACTTAAGGATGCTCTGTACACAGCATGAGGATTATTTCCTATAATTTTTTTATTTGTGGTTATGGTTTTGGCAGGTGTTTCTGAAGCCCCAGAACGTCCGTGCCCGGAACATAGACTGGAATACATGCTGATGATAGCAGCAATCATCATCTTTATTGTCTACAGCGTGACAGTAACAGCAGCTTCTTACTATTGCTGGGTAAGGAACCAATTTCTTGGTACGCTCTGCATTTTAGCAATGCTTACATGATTTATTTATTTATTTTATTTACTTTATTTATATACCGCTTTTCTCAGCCCTCAGGCGACTCAAAGCGGTGAACAACATCAGTAGAAAACATCACGAGACAAGTATAGGGCAATTAAAAACAATTGTAACATAAATCATTAAACATCCGTATAACAATCCTTAGCGCCTCAACAATAAAATCAGAATCCAGTCTCGTCATCCATTATTCCGTATTCCTATGTTCAATTACACTGTTTAATCAAATGCTTGTTCAAACAGCTAGGTCTTCACTTTCCTCTGAAATGCCAGCAGGGAGGGGGCCGATCTGATATCTGCAGGCAGGGCATTCCACAGCCGAGGGGCCACCACTGAGAAGGCCCTGTCTCTCGTCCCCACCAAGCGCGCCTGCGATGCAGGTGGGACGGAGAGCAGGGCCTCCCCAGATGATCTTAGTGTCCTAGCCAGTTCATAGGAGGAGATGCGTTCGGAGAGGTAAGTAGGGCCAGAACCGTTTAGGGTTTTATAGGCTAACACCAGCACTTTGAATTGTGCCCGGTAGCAAACTGGCAGCCAGTGGAGCTGGCGCAACAGAGGAGTAGTATGCTCCCTGAGTGCCGCTCCTGTTAGCAACCTGGCTGCCTAACGCTGGACCATTTGAAGCTTCCGAGCAGTCTTCAAAGGCAACCCCACGTAGAGAGCATTGCAGTAGTCTATATGGGATGTAACCAGAGGGTGGACTATCGTGGCCAAGTCAGACTTCCCAAGGTACGGGGTATGATGTGGGGTATTCAAAGTATCATCTAAAGGAAAGCCAGATCCTTCCTTTTTTCTGTAATATCCTGGGCCATCTGTCATGTTATGACCTCTTCTGCCATAGTAAGTGAAGAACTGGCCTGTTCCTTGTGTGTGTGAGTGAGTGTGTGTGGAACTTGCGATTTGTTATGTGTCACTGAACTGCAATTTCTAGCATGTCTCCATTCAGAAAGGAGGGTGTATAGTCAGGAATATCTGAATATCTGAAGTGTACATATATTAAAATTGTATATAAAATAAAAGTAGGTCCAAAAAAAGAAGATATAGAAATTTAAGGGAAGTGAGTGTATATATGTACATATATAAGCATTTGTATATATGTATATATATACTATATGGTGGGGGGGGGGGGAAGAAAGGGGGAAAAGAAGAAAAAGAATAAAAGAAAAAGGAAAAAATGTAGCAAAATAAAACTAAAACTATTTGTTTATTTATTTATTTATTTACAGTATTTATATTCTGCCCTTCTCACCCCGCAGGGGACTCAGGGCGGATTACAATGAACACGTATATGGCAAACATTCAATGCCAATTTTCACATACAACGTATACAGACATACACAGAGGCTATTTAACTTTTTCTGGCTGCCAGGGGCGCTGTCGCTTTCATTGTCCATCTGCGACACTGATGAAGTACTTCCGCATTCCCCGCATGCTTTTTGCTGGAGTGCTTTGCTGGAGTCTTTTTTATGGCCGCATAAATTAGTTAATTTAGCCTCCCCACACAAGGTGGTACCTAATTTTCCTACTTGACAGATGCAACTGTCTTTGCTCTTTGGTTACATCCTTCCTTCTCTCCTTCCTCCTCACCTTCATTCCTTCCCTGCCTTTAGTTCCTTCTCTCATTCCTTCCCTCTCTTTTATATGTAACATATTATATAGTAATCTATATAACAATATATAAAATATTGGATTTATATCTTACAGAGAAAGAAGGAAAGGAAGAAGGAAGGAGGGACAGGAAGGAAGGAAAAAGGAAGGGAGGGAGGGAAGGAGGGAAAGAAGGGAAGGAAGGAGAGGGATGAAGAAAGGGGGAGGGAAGGAAATGAATGGGAAGGAAATGAAGAAAGGGAAAGAAGGAGGAAAGGGAGGGAGGAAAAGAAAGAATGGAAGAAGAAAGGAGGGACAGGAAGGAAGGGAAGGAGGGAAATAAGGAAAGGAAGGAGAAGGAAGGAGGGAGAGACAGGAAGGAAGGAGAGGGGGAGGAAAGGAAGGGGAAGGAAGGAAGAAAAGGAAATAAAGGAAGGGAGTCCTTTCGGGTGGAGTGTGGCAGTCTGGATGTCAATAGGAGAGAGAGAGAGAGAGAGAGAGAGAGAGAGAGTTAAATGTGTGCTTGTGTTGCCAGAAATAGCCGAGCAGGTTAAACAGAAAGGAAAGAGTTAAAAAAGAAAGAAGGATCTACAGAAAGTCCCTCCCATACCTGCTGGCCTTCCTTGTCTCCTCCTCCTTCCCTCCTTCCACTCTTCGGCTCCTTCCTCTTCCAACAGGGAGAAGGAAGAGGAGGAGACTGCCCTCCTGAGATAGCAGGGAAAGAGAAGGGGCTCCATGCGGCAAGCCTCCCCCTCCACTCTCATGGTGCCCACTCTCTCTCTCTCTCTCATGTGTGTGTGTGTGTGGCCATGCACGCATGCCTGGCTTTAACAGCCGGCTGTTTCCCTGTGAGGAGGAGGAGGGGGCGTGGCCATGGGAATCTTGGTAGACATGCAGTTTCTCCTTTGTGGACATGTAGTTTAGAAGTCCTTTCTGCTTTTTGTTTTCATGGGTTTTTTGAGTAGAGAACATACATTGGGTTGTTAGGTGTAACGTGTCCAAATTTGGTGCCAATTGCCCCAGTGGTTTTTGAGTTCTGTGAATACCACAAACGAACATTACATTTATTATTATTATTATTATTATTATTATTATTATTATTATTATTATTATTATTATTGTTACACTACTTACTGAAGACACATTACTTCAGACTGCCACTGAAAATCTGTTTTCCAGCCTTTCTCCACTATCCTCCCAATGCCCCCCTTGTAATATCCCAAAGCATAGGAAACAGACACACAAACAACTGGATACACATCTGCTTTCCATATTTTAGGGCAGTGGTTCTCAACTTGTGCATTCCCAGATGTCTTGGCTGTCAACTCCCAAAAATCCTAACAGCTGATAAACTGGCTGGGATTTCTAGGAGTTGAAAGCCAAAACACCTGGGGATCCACAGGTTGAGAACCATTGTTTTAGCGTATTAGGTGAAGGGGTGGAATCTCATGAATCTCCTATGGAGAGTTGTTGAGCCATGTCTGAATCAGAGGACCATTGCTTACCAAATAGGATGCTCTTCTTGTCCATACAAACCCCAGAAATGAGAAAAGAGAATACATGGGTCTTTGTTTGTCTGTTCCTAGTAATGTGATCTTACTCATCACACAGAGAATCTTCCCCCTTCCCATGTTTTCTCATGTTATAGTGGAAAGCAAAGAAGAATAGGATTGTTCGGAATGACTATTTCAACATGACGCCTTGGCAAACTAATGGTGTAAAGAAGAGGCAACCTCCCTTGAATGTCCCAGCAAGGAACTACACTGCCTACCGATCGTGGGAGCCATGATGCATGCGTGACACACTTGGCCTCTTCCTACCATGGGAAATGCAACAGTATGTTCTGCCTTTTGTTGTGTGGGCACTGATGGATCGTAACTGGCGATAGATAACAGCAAGAGAAAAGTATATTCAGTAGCACAAATAATTAAAACTACAAGCTAACTTTCATATTGGTGACAGAAAAGAAGAAAATCCGGAATTGGGTTGTAAATAGTCACGTAGGCCTGTCATTTGTTTTATCCAAACACTGCCTTGTGATCCCCACAGATGATGTTTAAATTGTAATCAAACTCTACAAAAATCATAGGTAAACATTTGTCATTTTTTTATGCCAAAAGAGAAAATGCTGAATGTACAGTTCAAAACATGTGTGGAACAGATCAGAAACATCTTAATTATTTGGCCCCATGTAGAACTTCATGCTAATTTAAATGAAGTGTGTGATTAGCAGGATATAGGTTTGCCGTGTAACTCTGTAGAGTATCAATTTTTGTAGTGAATTGATTCCATATACTGGTAAAACAATCAATCTGTAAGTGGTTTCTGGAAGAGCCTTGGAGGAAAAGGGTGGAATGTACATCCATATGAGAAAACTCTTGAAATTTACAGACTCATCAAAGTTTGAACAAAAGAAGCAGACAAAAAGCAATGAGAGCAGAGCTACTAATTCCCTGACAAAGTGGCTCCCAATAAGATCTCACAGTGGGATGTACTTTCATTTTTTTGACATTGTGCTATCTTGACACTGAAATGATAGTAGACACATGGCTTAGGATTAACAACCAATGTTTATATTTCTGTACCAGACCAGCTAAGGTCTAACCTAGCACTGTTTTGTTCTGTTGCATTAATCTTGTCATTCTTGTATTAAAGAAAATCTGAGCTATAATTTATCATTATTGTATTACTGTGATTGCTATTGCACACATACTGTACCAAAGTGGTTCAACTCAGGTTGACTGGATGCTTCTTAAAGAAATCAAACATGGTCTTACCCAGTATGGAAATGAGGGAGAAGATGCAGTGAGACAACACATCACAAGACATGTGGGATGTGCCACCACCCCAGATTGGAATCAGATCAAACTAATGCTTCTCTATCGACAATATTCTATTTTTAGCACTGTATGTGCTACATTGGAGCCTCCAGTGGTGCAGTGGGTTAAAGCATTGAGCTGCTGAGCTTGTTGACCGAAAGATTGCAGGTTGAAATCCAGGGAGCAGCGTGAACTTCCGCTGTCAGTTCCAGCTTCTGCCATCTTAGCAGTTTGAAAACATGCAAATGTGAGTAGATCAATAGATACCGCTCCGGCAGGAAGGTAACGGCGCTCCAAACAGTTATGCTGGCCACATGACCTTGTAGGTGCCTACGGACAATGCTGGCTTAGAAATGGAGATGAGCACCACACCCCAGAGTCGGACACGACTGGAATTCATGTCAGGGGAAAAACTTTACCTTTACCTTTACCTTATGTGCTACATAATGTACTTGGGGAAGAAAGACATCACCATTGTAATTGTCCCAACTTAAATGTAAGGTATAATCTCCATATTCATGGAGGATATATTCCAAGAACACCCAAGATCGTACGATACATTAAGTTGGGGACAATTACAATGGTGACATATATCTTAGAACATTGGGGAAAGTGTTACCTTTTAACAGTAATTACATTCTATTGCTAACAGCCCAACTGATGAATTAAGTTGTTGTTGTTGTTCATTCGTTCAGTCGTCTCCGACTCTTCGTGACCTCATGGACCAGCCACACCAGAGCTCCCTGTCGGCCGTCACCACCCTCAGCTCCCTCAAGGTCAGTCCAGTCACTTAAAGGATGCCATCCATCCATCTTGCCCTTGGTCGGCCCCTCTTCCTTTTGCCTTCCACTTTCCCCAGCATCATTGTCTTCTCTAGGCTTTCCTGTCTCCTCATGATGTGGCCAAATACTTCAACTTTGTCTCTAGTATCCTTCCCTCCAGTGAGCAGTCGGGCTTTATTTCCTGGAGGATGGACTGGTTGGATCTTCTCTCAGTCCAAGGCACTCTCAGCACTTTCCTCCAGCACCACAGTTCAAAAGCCTCTCTCTTTCTTCGCTCAGCCTTCCCTATAGTGCACTCCCAATCCATAGGTTACTATGGGGAATACCATTGCTTTAACTATGCACCTCTTCGTTGCCAGTGTGATGTCTCTACTTTTGGTCATTGCTCTCCTCCCAAGAAGTAAGCGTCTTCTGATTTCCTGGCTACAGTCTGCATCTGCAGTAATCTTTGCACCTAGAAATACAAAGTCTGTCACGGCCTCCACGGTTTCTCCCTCTATTTTCCAGTTGTCAATCATTCTTGTTGCCATAATCTTGGTTTTTTGACGTTTAGCTGCAACCCGGCTTTTGCGCTTTCTTCTTTCACCTTGATTAGAAGGCTCCTCAGCTCCTCCTCGCTTTCGGCCATCAGAGTGGTGTCATCTGCATATCTGAGGTTGTTAATGTTTCTTCCAGCAATTTTCACCCCAGCTTTGCATTCATCCAGCCCCGCACATCGCATGATGTGTTCTGCATACAAGTTAAAAAGGTTGGGTGAGAGTATGCAGCCTTGCCGTACGCCTTTCCCAATCTTGAACCAGTCTGTTGTTCCGTGGTCAGTTCTGACTGTTGCTACTTGGTCCTTGTACAGATTCCTCAGGAGAGAGACAAGGTGGCTTGGGATGCCCATCCACCAAGAACTTGCCACAATTTATTATGATCCACACAGTCACAGGCTTTGGAATAGTCAATAAAACAGAAGTAGATGTTTTTCTGAAACTCCCTGCCTTTCTTCATTATCCAGCGGATATTGGTAATTTGGTCTCTCGTTCCTCTGCCTTTTCTAAACCCAGCTTGAACATCTGGCAACTCTCGCTCCATGTATTGCTGGAGTCTTCCTTGCAGGATCTTGAGCATTACCTTACTGGCATGAGAAATAAGGGCCACTGTACGGAAGTTTGAGCAGTCTTTTCGCATTTCCCTTTTTTGGTATGGGGATATAAGTTGATTTTTTCCAGTCTGATGGCCATTCTTGTGTTTTCCATATTTGCTGGCATATGGCATGCATCACCTTGACAGCATCATCTTTTAAGATTTTAAACAGTTCAGCTGGGATCCCGTCATCTCCTGCTGCCTTGTTGTTAGCAATGCTTCTTAAGGCCCATTCAACTTCACTCCTCAGGATGTCTGGTTCTAATTCATTCACCACACCGTCATAACTATCCTCAATATTATTATCCTTCCTATACAGATCTTCTGTATAGTCTCGCCACCTTCTCTTGATCTCTTCAGCTTCTTTTAGGTCCCTGCCATCTTTGTTTCTTATCATACCAATTTTTGCCTGAAATTTACCTCCAATGTTTCTAATTTTCTGGAAGAGGTCTCTTGTCCTTCTATTCTGTTGTCTTCTTCCACTTCCATGCATTGCTTATTTAAAAATAGTTCCTTATCTCTTCTGGCTAACCTCTGGAATTGCGCATTTAACTGGGCATATCTCCCCTTATCACTGTTTCCTTTTGCTTTCCTCCTTTCTTGGGCTACTTCCAGTGTCTCAGCAGACAACCATGTTGCCTTCTTGGTTTTCTTTTTCTTTGGGACGTACTTTGTTGCCGCCTCCTGAACAATGTCGCGGACTTCTGTCCATAGTTCTTCTGGGACTCTGTTTACTAAATCTAGTCCTTCAAATCTGTTCTTCACTTCCACTGTATATTCGCTAGGAATGTTAGTGAGATCATATCTAACTGGTCTGTGTTTTTTCCCTGATCTCTTTAGTTTTATTCTAAATTGGGCAATAAGAATTTCGTGATCTGAGCTACAGTCAGCCCCAGGTCTTGTTTTCACCGACTGGATGGATGTCCGCCACCTTTGGCTGCAAAGGATGTAGTCAATCTGATTTCGGTGTTGACCATCTGGTGAGGTCCATGTATAAAGCCGTCTTTTAGGTTGGAAGAGAGTATTAGTTATACACAGCGAGTTTTCCTGGCAAAATTCTATCAGCCTGCGTCTCGCTTCATTTTGTTCTCCCAGACCATGCTTGCCTGTGATCCCAGTTGTCATTTGACTTCCCACCTTGGCATTCCAGTCTCCTGTAATGAAAATAATGTCTCTTTTTGGTGTATTATCCCAGTAGGTCCTGCAGATCCTCATAGAACTGATCTACTTCTGCTTCTTCAGCAGCTGTGGTTGGGGCATATATTTGGATCACTGTAATGTTGAAAGGCTTTCCTTGCACTCGAATTGAGATCATTCTGTCATTTTTTGGGTTGTATCCAAGCACCGCTTTAGCGAATTTCTTATTAATTATGAAGGCTACTCCATTTCTTCGATGTTCCTCTTGTCCGCAGTAGTAGATCTGGTGGTCATCTGATGTGAAGTGGCCCATTCCAGTCCATTTCAGTTCGCTGACTCCCAAAATGTCTATCTTTAGTCTTGACATCTCACCAATAACAACATCCAATTTGCCCTGGCTCATAGATCTTACATTCCAGGTTCCTATGGTGTGTTGATCTTTAGAGCATCGGATTCGTCGTTCACCTCCAGTACCGTCGGCCGCTAGCCTTCCTTTCGGCTTTGAGCTAGCTGCGTCATCACATCTGGGGCTAGTTGAACTTATCCTCTGCTCCTCCCCAGTAGCATTTTGGCCATCTTCCGACCTGGGAGTCCCATCTTCCAATGGCATACCGACATATCTCTGGTTGTACTGGTCCATTTAGTTTTCTTGGCAAGGATACTGGAGTGGTTTGCCATTGCCTTCCCCAGGGATCACGCTTGGTCTGACCTCTCTGCCACAACCGTCCCGTCTCGGGTGGCCCTTCACGGTTTCGCTCATGACATCATTGAGGTGCTCAAGCTCCAGCGCCCCGACAAGGCGGTGATCCTTTGCTGGAGGATGAATTAAGTAGCATTAGTTTAATCTGATTACAATCAGCAGTGGTGGCACATTCCACATGTGGCATCTCTAGTTTCTCCACAATCAAAGGTGGTGGCACATTCCCCATGTGGCATCTCTAGTTTTTCCACAATCAAGGGTGGTGGCACATTCCACATGTGGCATTTCCAGTTTCTCCACAATCAAGGGTGGTGGCACATTCCACATGTGGCATCTCAAATTTCTCCACAATCAAGGGTGGTGGCACATTCCACATGTGGCATCTCTAGTTTCTCCACAATCAAGGGTGGTGGCACATTCCACATGTGGCATTTCCAGTTTCTCCACAATCAAGGGTGGTGGCACATTCCACATGTGGCATCTCAAATTTCTCCACAATCAAGGGTGGTGGCACATTTCACATGTGGCATTTCTAGTTTCTTCACAATCAAGGGTGGTGGCACATTCCACGTGTGGCATCTCTAGTTTCACCGCAATCAAGGGTGGTGGCACATTCCACATGTGGCATCTCTAGTTTCACTGCAATCAAGGGTGGTGGCACATTCCACATGTGGCATCTCTAGTTTCTCCACAATCAAGGGTGGTGGCACATTCCACATGTGGCATCTCTAGTTTCACCGCAATCAAGGGTGGTGGCACATTCCACATGTGGCATCTCTAGTTTCTCCACAATCAAGGGTGGTGGCACATTCCACATGTGGCATTTCCAGTTTCTCCACAATCAAGGGTGGTGGCACATTCCACATGTGGCATCTCAAATTTCTCCACAATCAAGGGTGGTGGCACATTTCACATGTGGCATTTCTAGTTTCTTCACAATCAAGGGTGGTGGCACA